CGCCACTGCCCCCCCCCCCACCCCACGCCACTGCCATGCGCAGCTTTCCTATGGACGTGCGGCTCCGTGGGCTGCTGACAGGCGGCGTGCGATTGGCTGTGCATGAGGCCTGTCGGCAGTCTGCAGAGCCACATGTCTGACTGGCTGTGGGAGAGCGGGGCACAGTGGCAACATGGGGTGGTGGGTAGCAGCAGCAGCTGCCATGTGCGAGTCCAGCCCTCCCCTGCCCCTTTTCCAGCTGCTGCCACCAGAAGGGCTCCACTATTTTAAAAAGGTTGAAAACCTCAGAGCTATGTCATAGGCTGCAATATCCACCATCTGTCTTAGACGGAAAGATGCCAAAAGAAAAGAAGTAGAGGATGTTGATATAGAGCATGGATTTGCAATGTTTTGCTATTACAAGCTTCTGCTGGCAACCCATCTCTCTGCTGTGACCCACAAATCTCTGTGTCTGCTGGTGATCAGCAGGTGCTATGGAGGGAATATGGAACAGGGCAGGGGGTACGAGCCTGTGGATTCCTCTTCTGCTGCTGCAGCACGAGTGTAATGTCAGTCCCCTGGGCCATAGGTTGCCAACCCATTGTATAATGAGATAAAATGATGCACGCAAGTGTTACATGCCAAGTCACCAATGATAAATTCTTATCACATGATTTTCTTCAGAGCTGTATCTTGTGTATCAGCACCACTTTGCAGGGAGAAAAGTCAACAGCCAGTATATTACGACTGCTGTTGCTGCTGCAAATCCAAACCGATCTTCCACTTCTGCCTCTGCATTTCTCAGGTTGGAGAAGGAAAATCTTTTTTGACTCAAACTATGGTGTGATTTGATCAGAGACTTAATCTGCAAATGTTCAGTTGCAGTATATTTTGCATGTTAAAAATACATGCACTTCTTCTGAGTTCCTGTTTAGAGTCTTGGGTTTAAGTAAAAGAGAAAAACAGCAAGGAGGTTGTCCTGGTGGGTATCTACAGTAGCTAGGGTATATGTCCTGTTCTGGCCAAGACAGTCCCCGATTTCATGGGCTGTCCCAGCCAGTTGCCTAAAATTGAAGCAGAAGTCCAGGATTAGAGGCAGCACCCTGCCCACACATACCTGGTGCTGTTCCTCCTGAGCAGTTTCTGGAGGATGCAGGGGTGCGCTGAGCATGGAATCTGACCTGACCCTCCTGCTGGTGTGGGGATGGGCTGAGGTGAGGCAGGGGCTCTGGAACAGCGCCAGGGAAGGGGGCTGGGGCTCAGGAACATGCACAAGGTAAACTGGCATGGCCACCAGCAGCCTCATGTTCTGCTGCTGCCAAGGTCTGGGCTTCATGTGGCGGCCCCACGTGACTGACAGTGGCTGGGGGAAGGCACTGCTACATAGCGCAAGCTGGCAGAGCTTGGGGGGCACTGCACAGGAGCCTCTCCTACCTGGCTCCAGCCTCTGTGCATGGAGGAACAGAGCCTGACCCTGGGCCTCCGCACTGTCCCACCCAACCCTGCTCGACCCTTAGGGCTCTGGGTGGGGGAAGGGGTGCATGCATGCAGGTCTGGGGTATGTACATGTGTGTGACCCCTCCCTCCCCCCCATCCCAGATTTCCTTCAAAATAATATGGTCACCCTGACAATAGCCCACCAAATTAGAAGAAGGAGATGGGTAAGGCCTTTTCAAAACTGGCTAACAAGTATCTAAATAATATGACGTGTGTGTTCATGAGGGACTCTTCCTAGAACTTCTCATAATAAATAAGGTATCATGGCAGTGCACATACATCTCAGCAAGTTCTTAGACTGTGCTGGGGGCAGCTTTTTGGTACAGATGGTGGCACAACCAGCTAGAGGAGGATCTTCTCAATTTATTACTTAAAAATGGGGAGGAATTGGTTGAGAATCTGAAGGTGGAAGACGGTGAACTCTATATCAAGTCATGAGAACTAGCATATGGAAAGAAGGATGGGAAAACAATAAAATAAAAACATTGGGCTAAAGGCAAACAGCTTTTAACAAATTCAGAGAACTGATCAATACTATGCCATAGGAGGCAAGTCTTATGGGGGAAAAATAAATCAGAAAGATTTATTATTTCTTGAAGATACACTATAAAGGGCATGAGCACGCTGTCATAGGAAGCAAGGCCTCTCTGCTTGGCTAAACATTGAGCTCTTCAATTTCTTCAAACTTCAGAAAGGAATCTTACAAAAATAGAAACATGGCTACAAGGGAACAAAAAGGGATTGTGGAAGTACATTGGAAGAGGAAGGATAAGAAAAGTGTCGGTTCCTTCCTGAGCAAGAGAGTAGAAGCCAATATTTCATGATGCAGAAGTGCCTAAAGTGTTTAAGAGGTGTACTTAGTAGCCATGTTGGTCTGAGACAAAAAGACATATAAAAGGTATCATTTTGGAACGGAGAGTTCTCATTTTTTGTTAGACCAACTGGAAAATGGCAAGAAAATTGTCCTTTCCTGCAAGCTTTTGAGATCAAAGTCCCTTCGTCAGGCTCTGGGAAAAGTGTAGATGGTAGAAGATGGTAAAAAGTCCCCATAGGTAGGAAATATACTTCATTTTTGCACAGAGGGAGCTGAAGATGGAAGGCTGTCCCTCTGGGTCCGTGAGAGTCTCTCATGTCTCTCTCTCTCTCATGGACCCAGAGGGACAGCCTTCCATCTTCAGCTCCCTCTGTGCAAAAATGAAGTGTATTTCCTACCTATGGGGACTTTTTACCATCTTCCACCATCTACACTTTTCCCAGAGCCTGACAAAGGGACTTTGATCTCGAAAGCTTGCAGAAAAGGACAATTTTCTTGCCATTTTCCAGTTGGTCTAATAAAAGGTATCATTTTGGAACGGACAGTTCTCGTTTTTTGTATGTCTAAAGTGTTTAATGCATTTTTAGTCTTCACACAGAAAAGGTCATCTATTAGATGATGAGCAAAGTTAATACCAATGATGAGGAAGGGGGAGAGTCAGTTTCACATAAGAAAAGAACAAGTTAGAGATAACCATCCTGCATATACAGTATAGGTATCATTAAGGGTAGTGCTCAAATAATTGGCTGAAATAATTGCAGTTTATTGGCTGTTGTCTCTGGTGAGGTCCCAGAAGACTAGAAAAAATAAATGTATTTCACATCTTAAAAAGGAAGAGCAAGGGAATTTCTGATTGGGTAGTCTCACTTTTAATACCTGAAAAGATACTGGAGTATAGTATCAAAGAATCAAATCTGTAGACACCTAGAAGGTGATGAGAGACAGCCAGAATGGATTTGTCAAGAGCAAGTCATGACTTTCCCTGGAGTCTGTCTTGGGACTAGTACTTTTCACTATTTTCATTAATGGATGGAACTGAATGCAGTCTTAATAAATTTGTAGGCAATACCATGTCAACTGGGAGCAGGAATGGATCTGGGATGCTGAAAATGGGGACACAGTGGTGGTGGAGCTCTGTGCATGTGTCTAGAGCTCTTGGCAGCAAAGGAGCATACAGCTGCACCACCATGCTCCCCCTTGGGAGTAGCAGACACTATGGAGTATATACTTAGGAGTAAAAATGATCTTGTTACATTTGGAAAATGACCTGAATTAGAATGTAGTTCTGTAAGGATGAATGGCTAGGAAGGAACAGTCAAGTGGAGAGAGAGAAAATGGTGGCAACTGGCTAGTTTCAATACAACAGTACAACTGGCTAGTTTCAGTACAACAGAAAATGACTCAAGTTATAGTTGTTCTCATGTGTCATATTAGTCTATGGTGTTTTATTTTTTCATAAAAAAGTTAAGTGGCACAGGAATGTTGAATGTTGAAAGAGTACAGAGAAGAGCAAAATAATTATTATATGTCTAGAGGACATATAACCCCAATTCTTTCACACCTTTCCTCAGATGTCATTTAGTCTAGAGAAGGCAGTATACAGAGGATGACAATCAAATATTTTTTGTGTCCACAGAGGACAGAACAAAAAGTAATAGGTTTACATTGCAAACAGTAAGGCTTAGTTGCATGTAGTTAAGCTGTGGAACAGATTGGAGAGACTATGAAATATCCACCAGTGAAAAATGTTAAGGGAATTTTGACAAACATTTATCTGGGATTCTGTAGACAGAGATGACCCTGTCTGGAGCAGGGGACACTAAATGGCCTTCTAAATTCCCTTCCAGCCCTATTATTGTCTGTGATTTTATAGTTAAAATAAATATTGTATTTTTATATATTTTCATAGGTTTTACTGAAGACAACAGCTGGAGACATTGACATTGAACTCTGGTCAAAAGAAGCACCAAAAGCATGCCGAAACTTTATCCAGCTTTGTATGGAAGGTAATGACTGAGGAGAACAGTCATAGCTGATCATATTGTTTTATGTAGAGTTTTGATTCCTAAAACAGGAATCACCACAACAATATACTGCTGCATTGATATTAAGATACAGTTACCAGATGTGCAGGAAAATTAGAAGAATTTTAGGACTTCATAAAGAGAGATTCTACAGTAAATATTTTAAATACATTTTAACTAAATTTCTTAAATCAAGTCAGTGGCAAATTGTGTTTGCCTAGTTGCAAAGCACCAAGGGCTTTTCAACGTTCAGTTGTGGGCTTGCTTGCTTTCAATAAATATGTGAAATGGTAATACTGCACTCTATGGAACCTTCCTCAAAAATGTTTTTGTATTAATTTCCCTTCTGTGCTTGTGTGTTCCTTTTCTTTCAAACATATTTGTTGCATTTTTATCATATTTAATCTGTTGCAATTTCAAATTGATGAGGGTAAAGATCAGATTGAAACATGCCCTGTCTCTGGCACAGATCAAAGAAACAGTGCATGTCATAATTATAAAGTTCCCAGAAGCAGATGAAGGAGGACCTTTAGCTGGTGTCACTTCCCTATTTACATATCTGCTAGGAGTAAGAGTTCCTTGTGATACACCATTTCCTGAAAATAACATCTGTCTATTCAGAAGGATTCTCACTCCTAGGTCATAGACTTTTTTTGAAGGTGCATTTCTTCCAGAAGCACAACACTTCTTGTTGAGCTAAAAACTTCTCTTAAAAAGAGATGAGACTGATGTTAAAATTTAAGATACTGGGGATTCAACTACTTTGGCCTTAGTAACCTGTTCCAGGAGGCAATTATTTCTTAATGTTAAAAAAATGCACCCAATTTCCATCTGAATTTGTCTAGTTTCCCTTTAGCCACTAGATCTTGTTATGCCTCTGACTGATAAATTAGACCATTCCACTAAAATAAATGTTCTTCTCTTGTAGATACCTATAGAACATAATTGTGTTGCCTCTTTACCTTTTGTTGGTTGTTGAGCCTCATTGCTGAAATAATTGGTGTTGTTGTTTTGTGAGCTCTTTCCAAGTTAATCAAAATAATTGATAACTGAACACAGTAACACTGTCAGGAATGCCATATAAATAGGCAATACTACCTTGTAGGGCTGTGCGAAGCTTCAGTCGCTGATTTAGTTCAGAGGAGATTCGGTCTGATTTGGCAGCTTTATCTCCGAATCTGAATCGAATCAGGAGACCCTTTAACTTCTCCAAATCGAATCAGAACCCTCTGAATCAATTTGGAGAGGTTCGATGATTCGGACATAGACTTGGCTTTATATGTTTTTTCTACATACCTCAAGGTACTAGGCGGCTTGTAAATGTTGAGATGGTGGGGTGGATAGAGCGTCCCACAGGAATGCAGAGGAGTCCCTCATGCACTCGGCAGTGGACCTGGAAGTGGACCAGAAACACTTTTGGTCCACTTCTGGGTCCTCCACGGAGGGTGCTGGAGACCCCCGGCTCAGCGACTGGTGCCTCCTGGGTCTGGGGGGGCACCCAGAGTCCCCCTGCATCTGATCGCTGAGCCAGGGAGGGCGAGGGACCCCCCTGCACTCATGTGGGATGCTCCACCTGCCCCGCCATCTCAGCATTGACGAGCCGCGCCTGGTACCTCAAGGTATGTAGAAAAAACAATTAAAGCTGTGTCTATGGTGGAATCACTGATTCTCTGAATCAGCGTTGAATCTTCAAATGCAGCTGAATTGAACTGGGCCAGTGATCCGAATGAACGAATCAAATCACTGTCCCGCTCATCAGGCTGAATCCGAATCAAATTGAATATGGCCAGCTTCTCACATCCCTACTACCTTGCTCCTTTGTCATTAGGATTTCATTAGGTTTCTTAGCAAATTTAATGTGCTGAGTCTTCAGATCTAGTTGGTTAACACTGTAATCTCAAGGACCTTTTCAGTGTCAATATTTCTTGGATACAGTCTACTGTCATATAAGGTGCAACTGGCATTGCCTTTCTCACAAGTCAGTGTCTTAAACTAGTCCATACACAGAGGTTTATAATTCTGCTGCTTTGAGCTAACAGCCCTTGTCCATTAGTTCACACAAACACATGAATGCTTATACATATAACCCAGACTTCTGGGATTCAAACTGTGCAAACAGTTCAATTTGGGGTGCTGTCATGTGAGGTCTGACCGCTAGAAAAAAGAATATGTAAGGCCAGCAAAGTCCATCCCAGTCATTAAAGGCAATCTGTGGTCCACAAGCCAGATCTGTCCTGCAAAGTTGTGCTCCAGTGTGCCAGCCAGTAGTGTAACTAGGGATAGGAAAGCAGGGCATGAGCCTCGGGCTCTAACATTAACGGGTAGCAGAATGGAGGCACCCTAGGGAGTCTGTGGTGCCCTGCTGTGCTGCTAAATCCACTGTAGCCACTGGTGGTGGGGGGGGGAGGGGTTGGTGTTCAGGGCTGGGAGCATTGAGGCAGTTGGCAGCTGGGGTCTCGTGGGCATAGTGTCCCAGTAGCCCTGGTCCCCTCATTCGTTCCCTCTTCCTGGCCCCCCAAAATGGGAGTTGCTTGCTGTGGGAGGGACATATCAGTGCAGCCAGAAGACAGGAGGTTAATGTAGCTACTCTGCTGAAACCAGTGCCTTTCTTACAGTCAAATTCACTCCTGTATATTGCTGCTGGTGATGTAAATTGGTAGCTCTTGGTGACAGGGGTGAATATCGGTGGCTGAAGTAGCAGGAAGTGAGAGAGTCCCTACATTGTGCTGCTGCTGCGATAACCCCCTTGCTCCTGGTTGTGCTGGCATCTTCCCCCTGCAGGAGCGTGTCTCCCATGGGGAGGCTAGGGGTGTGGGGCATGAGGCTGATGAGGGGATTGGGGCTTCTGGGTGTGACCCCTGAACTTTGCCAGTCTCTCAGAAGTTCATCAGTGGAGTTGATTACCCAGTATGGGGAGATTGGTGGCCTGCAGTGGCAGCCCACCATTGATAAAAGGTTGCCAGTTCCTAGCGTAGAGCATCAGGGTGTCCTGAAGTGCATATAACATCAATATATGTAGGGTCATATGCTACTCCACCTGTGTAGTTGGTGTGTAAATGAACTTAGGTGTCCAAATGCAATCCTACTCCACCCTACTTCAGTCCCTAAAAAACTGTTAATATGAAAAGTGGATGCTTCCTCCTCACTGCCGTTTTTTTGTGATACAGGTTTAAGTATAAAATGAAGTGGTAATGACATATATCAGGCATGTACAAGATACAGCCTGTGGAGACCTGCCACCTTCCCCAGTACTGTGTTTGGGTCCATATTGATCTACACAGCATGCACTGGGCTGGCTCTGTGCACAGGGTTCAGGACAGGCACCCCTTCCCCCACTACTGATTGGCAGAGGGGCTCTGCCACTCACCCCTGGTTGATAAGAGGGCAAAAACCACAGTTTTAAATATGCCACAGTTTTGCCTTCTGCTGCTGACTGGTGGCCCTGCCGCTTGCTGCTGACCAGACAGGAGGCAAAAAACCACAGCATATTTAAAACCAGTTTTCACCTCCCAGCCGTCAGGAGCAAGCAGTGGGGCCAATGGGGCCCCTCTGCCAATCAGCAGTGGGGAGATCATGGGGGAACCTGCAAGATTAAAGGAGCCACTGCTCAGCATAATTCTGGCACGAATTCCAGTGGTTCCTACGTATGTGGTGTCCCCTGCTCTTTACCCCCCCCCACCAGACAGGACACATGCCACATGTGGCACCTGCTGCTATGCAGGTCCCAGATCAGTTGGAGTGCACACCATGTGTAGTTCAGCCCTGGACCAGTGGTGTCGGGGCCACATGCAGCACAGGTTGTGGACTTGCTGCAGCTTGGTGCTGTAGCTGTAGCTGGAATGGTGCAGGGAGCACCATGCATAATGCAGACTGTAGAGAAAGTGCTGGAACCAGCATGTGGAGTGGTCCATGGCCCTCGCTCCATTCTCTTTATCCAGCCCACTACATCAGATGAGTTAGTTCCTGATCTAGACTATTCAGTGTTGTATATACGTGTTTAATGTTGAAACCTTTTGTCTTACAAATTGTAATATGTTTATATGATCCTAGAACCCTAGGGTACTCGTTAACCTGGGGTCGTCAACATATAGGCTGCAGACCAGATCCAGCCTGTGGACATGGGACTTTAAGAGTGTTTGACTTTGTGAGGGTTTGGCTGGAGGCGCTCTTCCTGTGGTGCAGGAATGAGCATTACCTGCAGGCAACCTGGGGTGGGCCATTCTGGCTGGCAGCAGGAACAGGTTGCCTAACTCTGCTTTAACCAACCTCAATGAGTATTCAAGAGTGGAAACTCAACTAATTACTAATTTTTGAGTCAAAGCTTGAATCCTAACTTCTAGATGTATAGTAATAGTATATCAGTAAATCTCAAAAAGGTATCATCTCCATTTTACAGATGGGGAACTTGAGGTACAGGGAGGTGAAGTGATTTATTCAGGGTCACCAAACAAGCCAATGGCAAAGCCAGAAATGGAAACCAGGTGTTCTAACTTCCCGTCTGGAACTCTAGCCCTTAGGCCACACTAACTATACTACATATAACTATATGTTTAGTATCTCTTAAAAATATGTAGTCCTATTCCTTTTTTTCCTTTTCAGATTATTATAACAACACAATATTTCATAGAGTTGTGCCTGGTTTTATAGTTCAAGGAGGTGATCCCACCGGTACTGGATCAGGTGGAGAGTCGATTTATGGGGCTCCCTTCAAGGTAGGTATCTATACAACTTATTTGAAATTTATTTTATTAACTTTCAAGCAATATTACTAATGGGAGAGGTTGGTACAGCAAGCCATGTACATCTGTACTTGTGTATAGCACTTCCTTGCACATGTTTCTCATTTTCTGCATGCACAGTTTTAAAATATAGCCATCTTAGGATCATAGGGAAGTAGGTTTGGAAGGGACCTCATGAGGTCATCTAGTCCAGCCTCCTGCTCAAGGCAGCATCATCCTCTATGCTGAATGTGAGAGGTGAGTGTAAACTTGACAGTTCAGTAAAGTAAACCAAACCATCATCCAGGTGACAGCAGTATGGGTATTTTTTAGGGCTGTCAAATGATTAAAAAATGTGATTGTCATTAGTTGTGCAATTAAAAAAAATAGTCACAATTAATCATGACTTTACTCACATAGCTAAAAACTCAAAATTATGCACAGAAAAACTCAAAATTATGCAGGTACTTTGTATGGTAGGGGAGGGTGTGTGTGTGGGGAATTTGTGAAGGTGTGGGAGGTTGTTGGGGGTAGGTTGCCCATGGGGGGCCTGGAGCCTGGGGAGGGAGAACCCCCACATGTCCTGGCAGGATACCCACTCTGAGTAGCATCTCTGTGGAGCTGCCCCAGGCCCAGGGTGTGCCCCCCACCCAAGTATGATCCCAGTGGGGGTGGGCTTACCCTGCCCTCACCCCAGCAGCAGCGGCTGTGGGCATCTGGGGCTGGGGGTAGCTGCTCTGAGCCCCAGCCTTGGACTGGGCCCAAACTTCCCCCATTACTTGCTTAGCAGGTCCCAGGTGGTCCTGACCTACCCCAGGCCTAAGGATGCCAGGTAGCCCTACCATGGCCTAGTGCGGCCCTCCCTGAACTCCCAGAGCTGTTAGCCTGGCTGCTCGGGGCCCTTGATGGGGGTTGTGGGTGGGTGGGTGTGCCCCCTGCCTTCCTGCTGCAACCACCCAGAGCCTGCATCCTGCTGGGACCCACATGGAACTGCTGTGGCAGAGCTGCCTGGCACGCTCAGCCTTGGGGTGGGTTGGGACCACCTGGGAGCTTTGGCACAAAGCACCTCCAGGCCCCTGCATATCCCTGGTCCAGGCCGCCCAGAGAGCAGTAGTGACAGTATCCCTGTGTCCCCATGGGAGCAGCTGCTGCTGGTGGGCAGGGGTGGGATTCCCGCAGAGCCACCTCCCATGTTCCCCAGCCCATGCCGCGCTGCATGCCTGGCCCCAGCCCGTGCTGCTTCAGCCCAAGTGACACCCAGCACCACCACCACTGCCAAGCCAGGCAGAGCCGCTGCTCTCCACTCTGTGCTGCACAGGCTCCTGGTGACTCCATGTGGGTCCTGGTGGGAGCCCAGGTGGCAGCTTGGGCTCTGGCAGTGCTGGGCTGGGACTGGGCATGGGGCGTGGCATGAGCCAGGGACTGCCGGAGGTGGCTCTGCAGGAATCTTACCCCTATCCTCTGGCAGCAACTGCCTTAGCAGGGTCACAGGACGGAAGGCCACTCTCACTGCCACTCCCCAGGGGCCTGGACCGGAGATGCCCAGGAACCTGTGGGCCTGGAGGCAGCTCGTGCCGGAGTTCCCAGGTGGTCCTGACCTGCCCCAAGCCTGAGCCATGCGCCCAAGAATGCCAGGCAGCCCCACTGCGGCTCAGCACCACCTTCCCCGAGCCTCTGGTGCTGCCAGCCTGGCTGCTCAGGACCCTGGAAGGGGGTTGTGCATGTGTGGGTGTGCCCCCCCCCCCTCCCCTTCCTGCTTCAGCTCCCCAGAGCTGGATCCTGTGTTGCCCTACGGCTCCTCTGCACTGCCACCACTGTCCCAGTGCGTGGCCTGGAGGCAGCAGTGACAGCAGTGGGGGAGGGCAGCCCAGGTGCAGGCTCCAAAACTACACATGCAATTAATATGTTAAAAAAATTAATGCGTTAATTGGTTCATGCATTAATCACGCAAGTTAACAGAGATTGACTGACAGCCCTAGTATTTTTCCTACTAGACTTTGCCCAGACTTAAGGGCACTCATAAAGTACCAAGTAAACTTGTGCTGAATGTTAAAATAAAAGGAAAATATAACAGCTTTTAAATTTCTTAAGTAAAGTTTCAGCAAGACTACAAATAGCTAAATTATGCTCTCCCATACTTGTTGGACTACACATCATCCAGCACTAGATTTGGAGATGTGGAGGGCATGAGGAGTTTGCACATGTCAAATTTTGTTTCGGAAATACTATGATACTTATGCAAGTTTAGATCCTGATTAACACAGATGTGTGAACTGCCACCTTCTTACATGTTCCCTGGGGTATTTGAAGACCTATGTTTGGAGTGTCTAAGATGTGTGGATGTATTTTAGTTGACTTCTAAATATTTGGTGCTTAATGTCTTTATAATTATCGCTTATGGCTCCAAAATAAAATTAGAAGTTTCTCCTTTGCTTGCATTCTCTTTGAATTTCTCACTCATTTATTAATGTTCCAACAGAATGCTTGTCTGATACCATGCAGGGAGAGGTTTTATTTTCTATATGTGATCTGTTCAGCAACTGTGAAATACCTAATGTGATGTGTACAATTCTTTTTTCACTTTAAATATTTATAGTCAAGGTCTCTGTAAATTGTGCCTTGCTTTTTTCAGTCCAGGGTTACAGTTCTTCTCTCTTCTCCACGTTCCAAGGAGACATTTTCCCTTTTTGAGTGCAGGTCTTACTAGCCATTAGATTTAGGGTACAGAGACAAAACATGTTAAGTCTAGATTATTTTCAGTTTGTTTTGGAGGAAAAGTGGAGGGGACATATGACATACAGCATTTACTCCAGAGGAGTCATTGTTTTCCAGTGTGAAGTACAACCAACACCCCTAAGGTATTATAAGGACATTGGAAATAAATTTACTCCACAGAAGGTTATACCAGTGTACACGTCGTATTTGCTACTCTTGTCAGTTTCATTTTGGGGCATTTGCTTAAAACAAACAGGCTCTTCAGCCACCAGTGACCAGGCGTTGTAATTGTGCCTACTTTAGTCTGTCACTTGGAAGAAGTGGTTGTTTGTCTTTAGAGTATATTTACTTTGAAGTAAAACCTGAGGTCATTTACCAGAGTAAAAGAATTGTTTGTATGCTAATGAACAAATGTCACTTGTTGACTAACTGTTCTTTTTCTTCACCTCCCAGAATTAACATATGTCACTTTAGTTTTGTGGGGGGCAGAGGGGAGTTCATATCAACTGTTCATACAATGGCTTTTGGAAAGAGTTTGTTTGAATTAATTGAGATTCAGGCTCCATGTCCCACAAACCCTATCACATGGTATCAAGACTGAGCAGGGTTGACTTATCTGGTCTGGCTATATTGTTGATTTTTGCATGGTGATGATCGTTTTACATTTTAGTCAAACTTGCATTAGAAATTACAGCCCTTGTGCAGGGCTTCTGTTCTTCTCATATCCTCATTGTCAGTCACATTGATCCCTCTGACATCTCAGCATGTTCCTACAGACTCTGGTATTAAAACGACAACCGCCTACCATTTCTTAAACCTTGGGCTTCTGATACACCTATGAAGTTAAATGATACCCACTTAGACCATGATCCTGCACTGATCTTGTGCAGCATTCCATTGAAAGGTGAGACAGGGAAGGATGCAGTGTCTTTAGGTCTTATACCAGATATTGGTGGCTTGACTTCTATATATTTCTGTGAAGGCAGTATCAAAGAGACCAGATAATTTTATCAACAGGGAAGAGCTAAGGGATTTTAAATAATGAAATTTTATTTGATTCTGGACATTTTTTAGGGGGCCACAAATGAAAAAGGTTGAAAACCACTGATCTAGAACATGGCTTCTAGCATGCACAGAGACTGAGTTAGCCAGCTATTTTTTGTTTATGTATACTTGATTTTACTGTAGTCACATGCACTTGCATAATTACAGGCACAATTTTTTTGTTGTTTTTGTTCTGGTTTATGTTTCCATACTTTCTGTGAATGTTCAGGGTCTCCCTCTTTCTATAATAGTAGAAATTCATATATATACTGAGTGAGTGTGTCATGCTACACTTGGGTATTTATTTGCCTAAAAGGTCAAGTGTGGTGGAGAGGAAGAAATAGCATGTAATCATGACATTGAAGATGTTATCATACTATGTACAGAAAAGGTTAGCTGGGCAAGTTTGTCTTGCATTCCTTCCTTTTTGAATGCTTGATTTTTTTTTACATCCTATGTCTTAAGTAACTTACTTTTAACATAATTGCTGCATATATGTTTATACATATACATAAAACATGTATGTTTCTTGGGGTGTTTATGTGTGTACACATATACATTAATCTAAAGTCTGATTCAGCCTCTTGCAGCATACTTTCTTACTTTAGAAGTAATCCCTTCTTTTTTTGTCTTGCTCAGCAAGTTGTAGTTAAGCACATAGGAGGGCTGCAATACTTGTACCATTGACATTTTTTGCAGGTCTCCCGTTGATTTTAATGAAAATAGGATTTGTTCCTAAATACAATATTTAACCTTAAAAGTATGATAGTTTTGATAACAAGATGTAGATTTTTAGTCTGTCTGATTGACAAGATTTTTTTAAACAATGGGTTTCTCTTGAGGAAAAAAAATATTGTTTAGGACTGACAAATACTTAACCAGGCTAACAGTTGAAAAAAGGATTTAAGAGTATATTTCTAGTTGCATCTTATTATTCAGTTATTTGTTTCACTATTGATATGGGAATATTCTTTTATTTTCCATTGTGTTTTTTTAAGAGAAGGTTTTTCTGATTGAGGCTGTTTTCTCTCAATTTGTGAAAATATAAGTAATTAGAACAATTAGAATATTTTGCAATTTACTATTGTCAGATGCCATAATTAAAGTACAATGCTAGCACTAAGGAGTGATTATTTATATTGCTTACAGTGCTTTAAAACTTTAAAAACATGGGACATTTTGTGTATGCATATCAGATTGGCTGTAAACAAGTGAAACATTGAAATTTGCCTAATTAAACAGTATTTTTTTTATTTGGCAGGATGAATTCCATTCACGATTGCGTTTTAATCGAAGAGGACTGGTTGCTATGGCAAACGCTGGTCCTCATGATAATGGCAGTCAATTTTTCTTTACTCTGGGTCGTGCAGATGAACTTAACAACAAGCACACCATCTTTGGCAAGGTATGTTAGGGCTCGGCATTATAACTGGAACGGTGGTTTTGTCAAACTCAGTGACATGTTCTTTTGAATTCAGCAACTATTTTCTTATTTTACTGCTGTGTTCATCACAAAATTATTTTGTTACTTTCAAAGTTATTTCACTACCTATTAAGTCCACCTGTTGCATACATATCTCTGACATTGATGTTTTCTGTTCATAATTCCTGTCATCATTTCCTTTTCTCCTAAATGATATTTATGTTTTGTAGGGCATTTGTACACATGCATTTAAAAGCATCTGGTTCTGCAGCACATGCAGTTGTATAAGTGGTGAAATGCACGTTAGTGCTGAGAAAATGGCAGCAGCGCACTTTTGAACTAAAACACATTAGAGGTATTTTAGTTCTAAAGTGCACCGCTGCCATTTTCTGCTCGCTGACATGCATTTTGCCGCTTATACAACTGCACGTGACTCAGCTCAGTGCGCATCAGCTCACGTGCGGAGCAGACTCGATTAACTGAGTCTGCTCCGACCCGCTGGATCTCCAGCCCATCATGGGATGAAAAGATGTGTGTATAAATTCCTGTAGTTTACCAGAATAATCTCCCTAACAATTATGTTGTGATCATCAGGGGCATAACAATGCAGCTCGACACCTAAGGCAATGGCAATTTCTGGTTGTTGCCATACTACTAACACAATTCCATGGCTGTGGTGGCAGTGGTATTTATCAGTGGGGCAGCTTCCCCAGTTATCCTTCCTCAGTTACACTAATAGTGATCAGTTTAATGTATTTTCTCTTTTATTAGCAATAAGTTAATAAAACTCTTTTTTTAAATTACCATTATAAAATAACAGTCCAAGCAAATGAAAGCAATCAGATGTTTGAAGTAAATGTGGACATTGTTGAATAGCTTAGCAATAAAACAGGCCATTTATATTCTGGTTCATAGCTTTCAATGAGAAATTTTTAAAAAGTGATTCTTTTTTCTGGACTCTACAATTATATGGTTATCTTGGCTGTTTGAAGGCAGATAAAAAACCCTTGTATCTAGAAATGGCTGTTATTGATACACATACATAGCTTAAAATAAAGAAACTTCATAATTTATATAAAACTTCATGATTTATATAATACTTACCTTAAATTTTGAACAGTTATCACAAAGTTACAGGCTTTGAAATAACTTTTTGATGAATTTGACAGATTACTGGGGACACAATATATAATATGATACGACTGGCTGAAGTAGAAACGGACAAGGAAGAAAGACCACTCAACCCACACAAAATAAAAATTAGTGAGGTAAATATACCATGCTTTAAAATTTAAAACTCAATGAATAATTTTTGCTCTTGTGCACCTGTTCTATTAAGGCATCTTGGCAATAATTTATCTTAATAGATCTTGTATTACTGGTAAAAAAAAAAAAAAAAAGGGTAATTTAAGAATAATGTATTTCTTCCAAAATCTTATTGTGAAAGGTTTAATCAGTATAAATTATAGCAAAATGATTTAAAAATATTTGTGTAAAATACTCAATATTTTCCCCACAGGTTTTGTTTAATCCTTTTGATGATATCATTCCAAGAGCAAATAAAAAGCTGAAAAAGGACAAACCAGAAGAAGAAGTAAAAAAGTCCAAGTCCAAAGGCACAAAGTAATTTTACCTCCATAAGTGGGGTTTTGTTTTCTTTTAATTTTTTACAACACTAAGTATAAAATCATTTATTACTTTATTATAGTGTCTGGCTGTATTATTCAGAGGCTAGGAAACATACAAACAGAGAACAAAAAGATGATGCCTGCCTTAAAGAGTTTGCAGTGTAAACGTAAGAGAAGAGAAAACAGATGGATACAAACAGACAGGAAATAGTATTGGTCAGTGTGTTAGGCAGTGGTCTCAGCGCTGAGAGACCAATACCTAACATACTGACCATAGTGGCTCAGAAATGTTGGTGCCCTCATACAGAACTATGGTAAGTTAAAAATAACACCAGATTTTACAAGATTGATAGGCATCTCTATTTATGTCTTTGGAGGACAAGTGTAAAAGCTCATGCATTTAAGAAATGTGTCTGTTTATGGATTTATTTGTGCTGAACACTATGATGATGCATAAAATAACTGTCTGCCATGTATAAATTAAGGCATAAACTTTTAGTGTTTTATATGCTTAATAGATTCAATCTTGCTAGATTGGAAAATTTCTCTAAAGTTCAGTTCAGACAGATGTAAGAGGTACACCTTGAGAAGAATGACCAAATGCAGAAATACAAAATGGAAGATAAGTATTGGGCAGTAGTGTTGCTGAGAGAGATCTTGGGGTTTGGGTGGATGATAGATTTAATGTTTGTCAGCAATGTGAGACAGTTGCAAAAAAAAAAAGCAAATGTTATTGTGGGCTGTATCAACAGGAGGAGTAGTTGTAAGGCACAAGGGGTAATAGTGCTATTCTATTTGGTTAGACCTCACCTGGAGCAGTGTGTGCAGTTCTCAGGTCTACATTTTAAGCAGAGGTTAGGAATGGTTCAGAGACAGGTGGCAAAAATGATAAAGGGGCTGAAAGGCAAGTTCTATCAGGAAAGCTTGAGACAGTGAGGTATGTTTAGCTTGGATAAAAGGAAATTAAGGCAGGTTGTGATTGCAGTTTTCAAATATTTGAAAGGCTTCCACAAAGAAAGGGAGAGCCAACTTTTATCCCTTGTTGCACAGGGCAGGCCAAAGCAATGGTTTTAATTTGTTCCAAAGTAGAATTAAATTAGTAAGACTTTGGAATAGAATGTGCAGGGAATTGGTAAAATCTCCTTCATTGGAAGTTTTTAAGAGGAGCTGAATAAGCATTGGGCAGGGATGATTTAGGAACAGGGATGATTTAGGAATCCTGCCTCTGTGCAGGGGTTTGGGTTCAGATGCCTGTGAATCACAACCCTATGATTCTATGCCAGATTGTACCTTTAATGTTCTTTTAATCTTTGTTATTGTAAAGCCATGTAATTAATGTAGGTAATAATACTGTCGCCTCATCTCACTGAGATGTGAAGATAAATTCATTCTTGTTTCTGAATCTTTAAGAGTCTGAAAGCACTACAGAAACATCCATGAGAATGTTAATAATTAGTTTTTGGGAGTAGGATTTGGATAAAATGAATAAGACTTGGGGTTTTGTTGAATGAGGTGGAATAAAAGAGATACTGAATGACTAGAAGTCTGATTACTGAATGAGATTGGCTTCTTCTGTGATCATGTAGTTGGGTAACATTATATGTTGCCTTGCATGTATGAAAAAAGCCCAGCAAAAACCGTGCTTTGCTTTAAACTTGATGCATTCCCATGCCAAGCTCAGCACATGCCCAGAAGGGGCAGTACATGAGTTCAACCCAACTCTGCAGCATCTGTATAGATTGGGCACTTTAGTCGGGCTTTTTTGGCACTTTTATCTAATAGCTGATTTAATCAGCTATTAGATAAAAGCACCAAAAAGCCCTGCTGAAGTGCCCAATCTATACAGATCCTGCAGAGTTGAGTTGAACTACCACACTGCTGCTTCTGGTAAAGCGTGGGGGGCGGGGGGTTATTTTGTTTTCTTTTCATGTCTGGAAGCAGCCATAATGAATGCACACAAGAAAGACAAATGAAGGATGCTTGAACAACTTTTAAGTGTCTGACTTTGAATTATGGAATCATAGAAATTAAGGGCTGGAAGGGACCTTGAAAGATCATTGAGTCCAATCCCCCTGCTCTGGGCAGGAATACTGCTAAGACCAAATGATCCTGGGAAGGTGTCTGTCCAGTCTCCTCTTGAAGACTTCCAAGGTTGAGGACTGTAGCACCGCCTTGGGAAGTCTATTCCAGATACCATAAAGAAGTTCTTCCTTACATCCAACCTGAAACTATCCTCTAACAGTTTATGGCCATTGCTCTTTGTTCTCCTCTGGGGCACCCTAGTGAACAGTTTTTCTCCTAGCTCCCGATATTCACCCCCTACATACTTATAAACAGCCACCAAGTACCCCCTCAGTCATCTCCTCCACAGGCTGAACAGTCCTAGATCCCTTAGTCTTTCCTCATAAGGTTTGTCCTCCAGGCCCTTAATCATCTTGTGGCCCTTCTCTGGACACTTCCAAGATTCTCCACGTCTTTTTTTTGAAGTGTGGTGCCCAAAAAATGCAGTTTTCTAAAGTATTTTCCTTTTTTAATTGAAATGGAAAATTCATATTGTCATATGGAACACATTTGATCCCTTTCTTGGGTCATTAAATCCATAGCCTAGTCCTTAACTATTTATGGTAGCAAGCATCTAACAAAATAGTTTGTTGCCTACAAAAGCTCATTTTGTTCAGAACCCATTAGTTTCTAAGATGCTACCCTGCCCTACTTTGTACATACTAATGCTAACAGAATAATTGGCAGGAGAATCAGGCTATTTTCATCCACATGAACTGGGTAGTGCAGTGGGATGAGGCAAAACATAATTTGTCTGCGAGTTTCATAGCTCTTTACTGATAGAAGAGGGATGTGAAAGCTCAGGATTCCTGACAAATTTTATTTCAGGTTCTGGATGGGAGCACTGGATGGTGATTATGGACCTTTTGACTGTAGTACCAGCCTGCCTCTCTCCTTCTTGTTCCCACCCATACCTTTTCTGTTAGCTTCCTCCTCCTACTCTTCAGTGCCTGAATATAAGCAGACTTTCAACTCCAGTGATTTCCAAAGGGTGTGTCACATCAGATTTAATGTGCTGTGAGAGCAGCAGAAGTGTGCCACGAAAAATGATACTTTGCCAGTATCTGGTCCACAGAACCATGCCATCCAGCCTGTCGTGTTCCCCAAGGGTCCAGACATTTAGGATTGGGTGAGCACTGGAAATTAACACTGCCAACACTTTTCTACCACCAAATTTCCATGCCCCATACAAGAAGATCAGACCCCGGCTAGACCAGCCCTGCATTACAGTATTGTGTCCATGGACTGCTAATCTGGCCCACTTTTTCAGGCATAAGTGAAGAGTGCTGCCAATTTTAATCCAGAAAAAAAGGACTGTTCCAGGTATCAAAAATTCGAGAAACAGTGCTCTACTCCTTTTTCCTATACTAGACAGTATCATGGACTCCAACAGCAAGGAGGAACAATTGAAGGGAAAATCCTGCTTTGCTTCTGCAGCTCTAAGCTACAGTGCAGTCAGAGCAGATAGTTTTTGTAGAACAGAGCTGCCTAACTAGCTCTACGTGAACTAGTTTTTCAGGGGCTTAAAACTTGGCTGAATTTAAGTTAATTTTTATGAGGATGAGAAAAGGCACATTCCCAACACTTGCTGAATTTCTAGCTCTTGTGTTAAATTGAGGTGCTGTTAGGATAACCGTATGTATATGGGCAAAACAGCATGCATTTTTCCCTGTTCTCTTTCTTAGTTAAAATGGTCCATTTGTTTCTAAGACTTACTCCACACCTCGCTCCCAGAAAAATCAGTACAACATAGATACTTGGCAAGGAAAACTTCAGTTCAAGTGATTGAAATCTGCCAAAGTTATTCAGCATCTGAAAATAGGGTCAAATAATGGGAAGTGCCAACTGCAGCTGTAGGTAATATTATCAGTTCAGCCTAATAAGTATTATGTTCAATTTATTTTAATAATGGCTCTTGGAAGAAATTAAAACTTATTATTTTTCTTTTTTTTGCACTGGATATGGAGCCATATGCAGTTCATCTGCAATGTCAGTCTTTTTTCTCTGAAAAATAGTGCGTGATGGCAAGCTGAGTGTTGCTGTATTCTTCACTTGGATTGTGTTGTCATTAAAGCACATCACTGGGAATTGGGAGATCTAGCTTCTATTTTTCATTGTTGTTACTGGAATTCTTTGTGGCCTTGGACAAGGCACTTAAGCTAAATATTTCAAGCAGCCATCCATTTTGAATAGGAATACAGTCTCTTCAATATTGATGATTTATTTATTGCAGAACAACTTGTTAAGTTGGTATGGTTAGAAGAAGCGAATAATTTTGTAGAAATGATTGGTATGAAATCTGAGACAGGGCCACTTGTTTTTGAAGATATTTTCTTTTATTAGACTTTTGAAATATGGTGTTTTTTGTGCAAAGGGTTACTAAAACAAAATATGTGGCTTTTGCTTTCTATTTTAAAGAAATTTTAACTTGCTTTCCTTTGGAGAGGAAGCTGAAGAAGAAGAGGTAGAAGTCAACAAAGTTAGTCAGGTAAGGTTCCTCTTCCTATTTTTCTTAACTGCTAGTTTGAAACCTTGAAAATTGTACATCTTGCAATGTTTATAGTCCACATAAACTTGATATAATTATATAAAATATATTAAAATAATGTTATTTAGATGGAAAGATTATACAGTTGAAAGTAAGGAAATATTAGATTTCTGATTGTCTATGTCATTGGTTCTCAACCTTTGGTACCTTATGTCAATTGACGCGGCAGAAGCGAAACCAGAAGTCCCACCATGGCACTTCTGGTTTTACTGCCGCGAGCCGAGTCCCACTTTCTCCTCGCGGACCACGGCAAAGCAGCCTGCTCGGGGCCTCCCTCCTTGTCCCCTGGCACACTGATGCTGGGGAGTGAAAGCCCCAGCACACCGGATGTGGCGGGAGCAGTGGTGGCCAGAACTTCCAGCCCGAACAGGCAAAGATGCCTCCAACTTGCCGGGCGGGGGGCAGGCCAAACTTAAAACATGGCACTCGTGTAGCCCGAAGGGTACGTGCGTTTTCTAGCCTTCACCCTTCCCACTCAACTAAAACATCTGATGTCAGGATTACTAATTGTCAAACCACAGAGCCTCTCCATATTCTCTTTTTTTGTTGATGCTGATCATAGCTGCCTTCAGACTCCTGAAATTGGGTATGGCTACAGGCAGTTACTTCAGGCTAAGGTAGGGTGTAAACTTAGTATGTCAGCTACTCCTTTTTAATTGCCCATATGAATGCTTCCACCCAGAAGTAAGTGTGAGGTAACATGTCTCACTTTCAGGGGTGAGCTTCATCATACTGAAGAGTAAGAATGTGCATGGTGGCAGCTATTGTGGAGAAGCTGATATGCTGCAAGTTCACACCCTACCTTACCTTGCAGTCAGTTTGGTGCATAGTCATACCATTATCTTCTCTAGGTCTCGTGTCTCTCTGGTTCATTGATGAGTCTTCGTTCTTCATTCAGACTGAGTTGGACTACATCTAACCAGAGGGACTGAGAATTATAACAGTCCATTTTTATTGTTGTAAGAAAATACTTTATTCAGATTGCCCCCATCAGGCTTCATGTAGATGATTGCGGGCGGCCTTTGAGCATTCACCTGACCCCATCCGAGGGGTGTGTCCCCAGGACTCATGTGTTGAGTTGTGCTCCACCCTGAGGGGAGTCCTGACAGTCGCCTGCCATGGTTTGATCTTCTATGTTCCCATAGTGAGGTTCCCTCCCGGGGTTTCTTGCTACTCTTGGTATCACCCGTTGGAGAAATTCTTGGGGCTCCACCTCCCCTACACCCCAACCAAACACCAACCTTCCGGGCCGCTGGATGGTGGATCTTTGGCCTGCTCCTCGGCTTGCCTGTTCCTGTTGACCGCAGGGTGTACAATTATCTCCGCCTTTGCACCCGCCCCTCCTCTGAGGTTCTTTCCTAGTCTTGCCTCAAATCTTTCTTCATGGCTCTGGACCCATAGAGGGTCTTTCCTGGGTTGCCACCCTGTGTGTCCTCCAAGATAGAGGTGGTCAGGGACAATAAAAAAATAACAAAAGGGTCTGGGTGTGGGCTTCTGCCCACCCCACTCATGGGTACGCCGTCTTAGACCTTCTCTGGTCCCCCAATGTCGTCCCTCTCTTCCTTGGCTGTCCTGCTGATCAAGGTGGTGGGCCCCACTAGCATGGGGGGAGGCCCTCTTAAGGGATCTCCATCTTGCCCCTGCAGACCTCCCTGGGATGTTGGCTGGAGAGCACCCTCGCCCTCCTGTGTCCCTGCTGCTTCCCCTGCTATTTCTCTGCCCCCAGCCTTTAAATTTGCTGGGTGGTGGTTTTTCATGATGTCATCTGCCAGTGCTGCCGCCAACAGGCAATAAAAGCAGCTGATAAACCACGCCAGTGGCCCTTCTCAGTGCAGCTCGCTCTTCCCTGTGGGAGGTAAGTATTTCTTCCTTTCAGGGCTCTTTCCCCCTTTCTTCGGGCATGTCGCCCTTGCCTTGGGTCCTGCCGTGGGAGGCCATTCTGGCGCCTCCATTCTTATTCCCCTGGGACACAGATGTAGGTGACTGCCTATCAGTTCAGTGACTTTTTTTCTATATGTCTGCATGTCTACAGCTCTAAAAATGAATATTCCTTCACTCTTGATAGCACTCTTGATAGCACTTAACTTTCTTACCCTGCCCTTGATAACTAGAGTTCTTTTAGGTAGATAGCAGGGAGGGCCAGGTTGCTCCTTTAGAGACTAACTGATTCAGAGGCATAAGCTTGTCTGGCAACAGCATATTTTGTCAGGTACACTGTCTATGAAAGTGTATGCCTCCCTGAACCATTTAGTTTCTAAGTTGCCACCCTGCCCTGCCTTCTGCCGGGCTTTAAACTACCCAGCTAACTACCTCTTTTGGATCTCATAGAAAATAATGAGGTTAGAGATGAACATGACAGAATTACGAAACACTGCAAAGAAGTGCAGCATTATATATAATTAGATAAGGTGGATGTTAATGGCTTTACAAAGGTAGATAGTTGAGGTATGAGAGGGCCAGTGATGTAAGAGAGAATGTCTGCAGAACTGAGAACCATTGCTATATGATTATTTGGAAGATGTTCCCCTCCTTAATTACTGTCAAGCTAATAAATTTGTTCTTAAAAATAAATAAAAACACCATGTGTTGGGTGAATTTCGGATATTTCCTAATAGTATTTATCACCAAAAACATAGTTTGTTTACATTTTACTGTTCCTGGTTTTCTGGTTGTCTCTGGTTATCTCTCTTCTAAGTTCACATTTCCATCTTCCCCCTCTTGCAGAATCTTCTAGACTAGTGGGAGCCAACCCTTTATTGGCAGGTGTGCCACAAATTAACCCTGCATTCTCTCCAAGTGCTCCGCTGATCCCCTTTCCCTGCTGCTCTGCTTTTTGCTCTAGGCTTGATCTGCTCCTCTGCTCTCTATTCCTGCTCTTTCTGCTATTGTGCTACTTGTTCCTTAGGTGATCTACTGTGTGCCAGACAGAGGCTATTGTGCCACAGGTTGGCCATCCCTGTCTAGGCAATTGGCAAAGCCTACAGCCACCCATGCCATGTCTAGTTTGGTTCTTGAACATATGAAGAAGTCACTGTTGAAATTTTTCACACTGTTAAGTGTGTTAATCTTCTACGTAATATAGAATGGCCTCAGTAAAGGCCTTAGTGTTCAAGTATCTACTATGGAGGCACTTAAGATCCTGCATAGAAACTTATACTTTCTGGTTCATAAAGGCTTCAATATCTGTCCAGACTTAGTTTGTATTCACCTGCCTCTTTGACTGAGATCTAATCCACTCCCTCCCCTGACCCTACACCCCTTTATTAGAATCCTTGTCATGGGGTGTTGTGTGTTTTCAGGTCCTTAGATTCATTCTGTCAAGTTGTGTGAGTGGTACTTTTGGCAGTTGTTTACTGCATGCTAATATATGGGTTATTAATTTTTGTTTTTCTGTGAATCTACTCTGTCTATTCTGTAGAGTGATATCATTGCTGTACATACCAGCTGTCTGAATTAGCTTAGACAGATGTAGGAAAGTCAGAATTCCTTACCTGTTTATCCAGTATTGTTTATACCCAATCTAAGTACTTCACCCTTATGTTATATTGCATTGCTGGCCATAGGGCTGTTCCTCTGAAACTTTTCTGTTGTGTTCTTTTTTCTTTGTTGTTATTGTTCAAAGAGCTTTTAAAATTTGCCAAATCAGATAACTAGTCACTGTAACAGGAGCAATGTCAAGAGAATTTTCTTTTTCTTTTTGTGATTAGATGCACCTATGGCCAGTGCTTGGCTTAAACATGACAGGAAAGAAATTATTGTTTATTCTACTGTATCAGTTATCCTGACTCCATATTCACATAAACATTGCTGTAACAAATATTTTATTGTTAATTTTACAGAGTATGAAGGGGAAAAGTAAAAGTAGCCATGACTTGCTGAAAGATGATCCACATCTAAGTTCAGTTCCTGCTGTCAAAAGGTTACTATACCACTTTTAATCTACGGAACTGCTTTGCTTTCATTTATATTGGTGGGACAGCAAACACTTTGGACAATAGGACTGGATTAGGACAGAACAATCAAATCCGCAGATAGGGTAAAATGCCTAGGCTGTACTACTTAAGAAAAAGACCTGGGAGTTATACCTGACTACAAGCTGAATATGAGTCAGTAGTATAATACAACTAGCTTTTCTTGCAGCCGTATACAGGGATGTCATATGTTTTGCTTTCTGTGTTGGTTTTTTTTCCAGTTTGTAACTTGACTTCTAGTCTTTATTTAGTCAAATTATATATACGTGTACTTGACCTTTTGCAACTCTATACATATTGGATCCATAGGCCAACATCTAAGGGTTTATATTGACTACAACTTCTTTTTGATTGCTCATTGTACTTTTTACTTGGGCCAGAGCTGCTTGGTTTAAGAGCAAAAAAAAGTGGTCTTTTAGAGCCTGCAGACCATAATGGTTTGTCTGGATAACTTGAGATGAACTCACTAATAGAATTTGTCCTCTACGTGGCAGTGCTTTGTTTCTGTTGTTCTGTCCTACATTCTTAAATGTTTTTGACCAGAGTAGATGATGATGAGCATGTGGTAGAAAGTTGCAGTCAGCTTATGTCATTATGGTAAGTGTGGTATAAATGGCTTGTCAGGTAGAGTTCTGACTCTGGTTTCAGAAGGTAACTTAATCAAATTCTTAACAGAGATACTGCTGTTTTAAAATTCTGCTCTGCATTTAAAATGATTGATTCCAAATGCTTTATAGTGAAAAATAACATTTATGTCTTTTTTTTTTCCTTTTAGTGAAAAAACAAATGAAGTAGGGGATTCAAGTGAGGTGAGTAGCACTTCCACAAACAAAACTTGGACTTCTTAGAGATACTCCATTCCATACGTCTGTGTAGCCCTGCATCATGGATTCTATTCAGGTTTGGTGTTCTGGGTGCCAAAACGGCCTGAAACACCTCCGGAACATAACGGCTGCCAAAATTTGCACAGCCCTAATGTACATATGTCTATATGTGCATTTACATTTTTAAGTATTGTATAAGTTCTTCTGATGAGATAACATTTCTATGTTTAAAAATCATGTAGTAAATTAGTGCTAAAATTTGAAGCACTTATTTTAAATCAATGTAGAAGGAAGATAATGATGAAGAGGATGAAAATAAAATTGATACTAATGAAGAAAATGAAGTAAAGAATCGCATTGCTAAAAAGCTGAAAAAAGTTTCAAGTGAAAATGAAAAACTACCATTCAAGGAAGAAGAAATAAAAACAGAAAAGAAAACTACTACCCGCAGGTATGCAGCGTACAATTTTTTCTGATTTAAAGATTTTATTTTATTTTAATTTATGTATGTCTGTTCAGTTTTTATCATTATAGCTTACTATATGGAAGGGTACATCTTACATTTTGATATGTTTCTTTGATTTTTGCCCCTATTAGAATAAATTGCTAATTACAGTAAAATCCTTGATAATCCGGCATGAGTGGGGAATGGAGGGTGCCGGTAATGTAAAAATGCTGGTTACCTGAGGGCAGAGGGTTTCCAGCTGGACGCAGTGGGGGTGGCAGCCACATGCAGAGCATGGGGTGGCAGCAGCTACATGGGGAGCGGGGTCGGGGTAGTGGTGTCCGCATGCGGAGCATCAGCTGGGAGTTCGCAGGCTTGGAAATGCACATAGTCCCCACAGCTGGGTGCCCTGTCAGTTGATCGGGGTTCCCAGCTGTCGGGGCACAGGTTACACATGCAACACAGTGTGGTGGGCACCAGCAGCAACCTGTGAGCTTCTCCCCTGCCCCCCAACATCCAGCCAGCCGGCTGGAAATTCCACTTACTAGAGTGTGCTGGTTAGTAAAATCCCAAATAACAGGGATTTTACTGTACTTTAATCTAGGATGTCAAACATAGAGCCTCTGGGCAGATCTGGCCTGCCCATTGTCTAGCAGACTGCTAGAAGTTAGGGACATGGCCTGCTGCAAAATTCAGGGCTCTTCAACCCTGGTGGACATGGCCATTGGCGGCAGGGGGGTGAACAGGAGCTCTACAGATTCAGCCCTCCCTTGCCTCACTACCATCCAATCCCTGACCTGTGCTCCTCCCTGCCTACCTCTGGACCTCACACTGCCACCTGCTCCCTGACTCACGGCACCGCCTGAGTGGGAACCTGGACTGTTAGCCCCAGGCCCACTTCAGCTGCTGTGATCCAGCCTGGGAGGAGCCCGCATGGTCCAGATCCAGCCCATGTGGATCCCCTTGGATCTGACCCAGGGCTGAAGTGAGTTGACACCCCTGCTTTAAATGGTGGACACTGTTTCTTTGTTCAGAAATATAGGGACAAATTACTGAAAGCCTTTCAGTCATATATTAGCTTGTTCTAGCCTAGTAGAAATAAATGTGTACAGCAGACATGCCTGTAATATGGTGGTTATTATCACAGGGAATGATATGGGTTGATACCAGACTTATTAGGAATTGTTTCACAATATTTTACTACATGCCCTTACAGCTGATGCAATCTCCCAGCCACAGGGGTACACCACATGGGGGTCCCCATCAGCTGAGAGCTCCCAGGCTTGGAAATGCACGTGAGCCCCACAGCTGGGAGCCCTATCAGCTGATCGGAGTTCCCAGCTGTCAGGGCACAGGCTGCACATGCAAATTCATAGCTGATTCCCATCCAGTTTTAAGTTGTTACACATTTTCTGGCAATAACTTTATAGCTGGTTGGACCTTTTTAAGGCACCATACTTAATTGGTACATCTAGGCATCTTAATTAATTGCACAATAAACCAGGTAATTGTATAATACATGTAACATGTAGAGGGGACCTAATCATCTATAATCAAATAACTATATTTATGTAATAAGACTGACTACAAAAATGGAAATGCAAGAAATGTAAGTTTCATTTAAAATGTCTCTAATATCACTGTTTTTAAGGGAATTTAGCTGCTTATGTGAAACTTAATCTTGGCTAAACCCGTTGCCTGCGAATTGTTTTATGTATACAGATAGCTGTTGAATCCTTTCTATATCAGATTTACCTGCCATGCTTAACACTGGTTCTTGAGTAGCCAAACTGAGAACCACAGTGGGTACATGGAGATATTATGTTTAGATCTCCCTAACTAGGGTTGGGTTGATCTAAGTGCTAATCTGTACAGATGTTTGGGGAAGTTAAAATGGGCAAAAAATGGACAACCCAATCTAAATTATGTCACCTGAGGAGATGAACTAAGATGTATTGGGAATAGATTAGCCTCATCTACCAAACATGTACACATATTCAGAGCACAGCCCCAGAGTTGGAAAAGTCTAGCTGCTTGTCACAGGCCCATGAGTATGCTCTTCCTACCCCCCAGAGCCTGATAGGGCTATTATTAGCTCTCCTCCAATCCCACAAACCCCCTGACAGACCTGCTAGTCCTCCCCGTCTCCCCTACCCAGATTCCCACCTACTTTTCCTCTCCGCCCCCCGGTTACTTAAATTGGGTTCCCAGCCTTTGAATATGTGCCCAAGCTGCTTCTGTCTACAGTCACATGGCTTAAAGCAAGCTGTGTGATTATAAATCAGATGCGGTAAACATCTGCACATACCCTGTGTTGTCTAACCATCTACCCTCTTTACCTAGTTGTCATGAGTTGGGTTTGGGTAGTTGACCACTCAGATAAAGCTCAGTCAATTGGCTGGTCAAATATCAGTAAAAAAATTGCTACTTGGTCCAAATAAAACACATACAAAGCACAAATTTCCATTAAGAAACATGTCAGAAACAATAAAAATTAATATTCCTGTCAAGAAAACTACAAAAAAAGTATTTTTTTTTGTAAAATTGCTATAATTGTTGTCCGCTCAAAAAATATGCAGACAATTGACCAGTCAATTGACAATATTTGACTGGTCAATTGACCAGCTTACCAAACCTAGTTATGAGTGTTTCATAAGTAGTGGAGCCAGTCAGAAAAATATTATCTGTTGAAATAAGCATTGTATTAAGACTCAAGAATAATGTAACAGGGGGCCTCCCCAGGGCCAGTTAGATGTTGGCCTTCCCACCTGTTTCTGGGCTAACTGCCCACCTCTCTCGCCTGCCACACCTTGGTGGAAAATGATTAAGATATTAACCTGGTGGGAGGCTGCCCATTTCCTGCCTCAATGCCAGGGTGCATTATCTGCAGCTCCGAAACCTGCCCTACACCACATCCCATGCCTCACCGATGGCATCTAAGCTCTTAACATCTCTGGTCCCACTCTGGTCTGGACCCCAAATAGATCCCTTCCCATCAGGCGGCCTATTCTGCCCTCATTCTGGGTTGCCAAGCTCCCTACACTCTTCCCTCTCTCGGGTGTACCCTGTCCCGGGACCTTTGGCCACGCAGGCCCTGGCCTCACCTCCAAGGCCAGTCGGAACTCCAGGCACACAGATCTGGGCATCCCTCGCGGTGGGCCCCTGACCCTTCTGGCCCTGACCTCAGCATTGACCAGTCAAGGGTGCCTCAAGTCAGGCTTCTGAGCAACTAGCTCACACTCTTTTACATGGGTCCACCTTCTCAGGGGGTTACACACCCAGTTGTGGAAGCTGGGGTTATTAAGGGGCCTCAGCCCACCTTTCACCGGGGTGGTAACTGGCTTGGCATTTTGTGGAGGCTCCCATGCCACCAGAAGCCCCTTGCCCTTACCCCTGGTGTTCCTGCTGCAGCTCAGCCAGGCGATGTTTCCGCCTAGGCTGGCAGCAGCAGCAAACTGCAGCCTCTATATACCTAGTTCTCAAATGGTCACCGCCATCAGGCACCTGCTGGCTGCCTGCCTGAGCCCTTCAAGTGGCAGGCACCCAAAGGTGCACTGCCACAAATAGCTATTAAAATAACTTAGACAACAGGAGTTTCAAACTTATTGATGGAATAATATCATACTTTCAGAAGGAGGGGATCACAAGAACGAGAAAGAAGCAGTTAAAAAATCATCCCTTCCCACAATAGGCAGTTTTCATTTTGAATGGCACTGATTAGGTCAGGAGGGAACTTCTTGTCGCAGGGGCACTCTTGTGCCCTGCTCCTATGAAGGGATACAGGTGCCAGTTGCTGGGGCAACCGTAGTTGGTCAGCTGGCCAGAAGGGGGCAGGGCCTGGCCTTTATAAGCAGCCAGGCTGAGGCCAGAGGACAGTTCCCCTCTGGCAGCCTGAGCAGCAGGAGCTCTGTTGCAGAGCAGGGCAGAGCAGCCTGACCGCCGGAGCATCTGCATGATGGTACTGAGTGGATAGAACCCTGACAGGGAGGTATGAAGGGAGAGCCAGGGTGGCGCAGAATTTATGTTATAGCCAGGAGGCTTATTTCGTGTTACAGCCGGTTGGCTTATGGCTTTGTATTTTCTGTTTGGTTGCTTGTGTAACACCAGAGGACCGGGTGAGGCTGTAGGGGTTGGAGGAGGCCTCAGGGGAACTCCCCAATAACGTGGAGGTCCTGGCACCAGAGAGGGTGCCGTGTTTGGGGGTTTGTACAGACCCCTGGCCCCAATGGGACAGAGTTGTGCAGTGTGAGACAGACCCCAGTGTGGGCGTGGGCACGAGTAGAGCCCTAGGGAGGGGCGTGCAAGCAAGAGGCCCAGTGTGGGCATAACGTTCAGGGGGCACTGACCCCAGTCCCACGAAAGGGGTCTTGAGGGCCAGGTAAGGCAGAGGCTGCCTGAGTCCAATTGTGAGGGGCCTGAGTCAGGTGTAAGACCCATAAGGAGGGTCGGGGGCCAGACACGGCTATGGCCACCGGAGCCCCGACCGCGGGAAGCGCGGGAGACGAGGCTCCAGTGTGGGTGACGCGAGTGCAGGAGGCGAAGCCCCAGCGCGGGCAACCCGGCTGCAGGAAGCGCGGGAGACGAAGCCCCAGTGCGGGCAACCCGGCCGCGGGAGTGCGGGAGACGAAGCCCCAGTGCGGGCAACGCAATCATGGGGACGAAGCCCCAGCGTGGGCAATGCGAGCACAGGGAATATGAAACAGGACCCTGTAGGGGCGAGCGCGCGGGGAGTGCGGGATGGCCCCAATAGGGGCGGATACTCTGATGAGAGCGTAATGAGACGCCCGGTGAGGGCGAGCGTACGACTAGAGCCCTGTGAGGGCAAGCACAAGATTAGGGAGCCCGGTGAGGGCGAGCGTATGACTAGACGCCCGGTGAGGGCAAGTACAAGATTAGAGAGCCTGGTGAGGGCGAGCGTACGACTAGATGCCCGGGGAGGGCAAGTATGGGAATAAGGAGCCCGGTGAGGGTGAGCAAACAGTCAGAGGCCTCGGAGAGGGCCACTAAGGAAAGAGCATAGACAAGATAACGTCTGGAACAACTGAG